AATGATCGGCTGTAATTAATCGTCAATTTCTTACAGCTTAAGTTTTTAAATCGCCTTAAAATCTCATTGTAGACGTCACATAAGCCAATCACAGAGCGATATTGGTATCTTAAGACATTATTTATCAAGACGATCTTGAAGTAAGAACCGACTATGAATACCGGCCACGGTCGATGTTCGCCGCGGACGACCATAATCGGCGATGTCACCCGCTCAATATTCCGAGGCTATGGATCGACCTCAAAGAGAGAGGCGTAAAACTGCCCGACTTCGAAAATAATGTCATCGCGTGCCGCGTAATCCACCGCATAACTCGAGCTACAAAACGCTCGTTTATAAAGCGGTCGTTGACCGAAACGCGATTGCGCTCCCTCGTGTGTTCTTCGCCTTGGAATCTCTTTGCCGGATTTTCTTTGTTTATTCTTAATTCTTAATTCTTTCGGACGTTACGATTTTTTTTCCGTTTTTTTTTTCTCTCTTTCTGTTATCTTTCCGTCCCATACGTCCGCATACCGTAAGTATTTACTCTGCAGAAAAGTTCGTCTGTTTGTCGCTCGTGAATATAGCGGTTCAGAGAAGCGGCAGAGATGAAGAAGAAACTTGGTCTGAATAATAAAGTCAGGTAAACTAAGAGCGTGCAAGATAAGTGATCGCCTGGAGACTCAGTGATTAAAATCACGAGCATAAATTCAATAAAAAGAACGATCTTCTTGAATAATTTATTAATAAACTGACGGCTAATACGTTGGAAACATGGCAATCAATCATGATGGTCAATAAATTAAATTAAAAGCAATTATAAATAGCATAAAGGAACTACCGCGATAATTATAAGATAATATAAAAACGACGAATTATTTAATCTGATATAAAAGGTCTTAAGACGCCTAAAGAAAAAAACATAATTAGATTATTGAGGTACGTACTGATGAACTATTATGCCTGTTTTTTTTTTTTTTTTTTTCCATTATCTCTTTTATATCTACGTGTGCTTCTCCGCGAAAAAAGAACGAGAGCACTTTTTCTCGTAGATTCTTCGAGTTCTAAGTCGCGACTAAAGTAGAATCACTAATTGATTTATCGTCCTTTATTCCGCCTACATGTAGGCGCAAGAACAACACTCGGCTCGAATTTATTGTCTATGGACAAATGCAACGCAAAGTGGCACACAAAGTGAATCGATTAATGCTAGGGAATAGGCCACGGTAAATTGTCCGTGGCGATACCGGCCCATCGCCCGCTATTCTCTTCCCCTATATGTTCCCTTTTCCCTCCTCCCCCATCTTTTCGTTTATTTTCCTTCGCATTTTCTTTTCTTCTCGGCATCGTTACGTTCCACTACCGATATTAGCACCGGCTGATCCGTTTGCGTCACGACCGTGAACGCTCGCCCTCCTTTCGCCGTTCGTAGATTCGTCGAGTTAATGTATCGGCGTATTGCAAAGTGCAACGCGTCCTCGGATATGAATTTTTAAGCGGAAGATGATTGATTGGATGGATCGATTAATATGAGAAACGGCTGGCATGGCTGGTGTGAACTCGCGCGAGGAATGCAACCTCGTGATTTAAAATTCAAAAAAGCTATCTGCACGCCGGATGATTATTTAGGGCTCGTAATTCAACGTTTTTTTTTTTTTTTCAAAGATAACTA